AGAGGATTTAAATTATTTAAGAGAATGTAAAATTTTACAAAATCTATATACAAATGAACGAATTAATAATTTCACTAGAAATAATCATTGCACTAGAAAGAAATTATGAATATATTGAATCCACAAGATTCATTGTTTAAGAATTTATGATATCGTAATTTATACATGAAAAGTACAAATTAAACTGCTATATTATATGAAAAAATTACGATACAATAAGTAATGAACACAAGCTCAGATCCTTTTTTTCGGTTATTGCTTATATAAGAATTAATAAATAATTTGAAAAATATAATAAAAATAATAATTTAAAAATTCGCAATAGAAATTCACAGTTTTAAAGATAAACGAGAGCGTGGCATGGCAGACAGTGCACTGGTCTATCATGCTAGAAGTCCCGGGTTTGATCCTGGTAGAAACCAAAATATGCTTGTGTCTTCTTTCGGAAAAGACTTCCCAAGAGAATCCTTATTCACAGAACACTCTCGAAAAATCCATCGTTCAGAACTAAAACTATAGGTGCTCTCATGTGCTTGTAGCAATTGAATAATCAGCGTACGCATTACAAGCATATGAGAGTGTAACATAGACCAGAAATATAATGTAAGAAGAAGAAGAGAAAAAAGATCGACGAACGCTTTATAAAAATCTCATTTTTCAGAGAGAAAGAAAATTCTCGTATCTTATTAAAATATCTTCTTGTCTTGTCTTGCATATGTACGCATTTCCTTTCGCATTTGAATATTCGTTTTAAATTAAGTGAAAACCTTTGCTAGAAGTTATAGGAAAATGAAGTTACTGCACCATGTTAATATATAAGTCTATTTGATTAGAGAAAGAGATAGAGAAAGAGAATATAATACATTAAATTCTACATTGATATCCATTTTTCTCCACGATAACTCTCCAGTATCAACAATAATTGCAAAATTGCACTGTAATTCAAATAAAAAAATTCGAAATCTAAAATTGATATTTTGTAATATCTTCTTTTTCAATAAAATTGTAGAATAAGTGATATTATTATTATTATATTATAACTGAGATTTTTGTTGTTTCTTTTTATAAATTTTATAAATCGGTTAATTAGTATCTTGTTTAATCATTTAAAAAATGTAAATTGCAACTATGCACCGAATGAAATTTCCATTCGAAATTAATTTTAATTAAATTAAAAAAGAAATTAAATAAATACTATTTAAATAATATCAAATAAATCAACAGCTGCTTTTGCATATTTAGATAATTCTGATTGCAAAAATCATTATTCTAAATTCATAAAGTTAATATGAACAACCTCTTTTCCTACTAACATAAAAGTATTTAAAAGTCGACTCAATCTTTCAAAGTTTTTTAGACTAGTGTTATTTGAATTAATTGATATTATGTATAGTTTATATACAAAATGTCTCAAAATCAATTAAAAATATGAACATGGTGTGATTCCTCATGAATTCCTCATGAAATTTGTCGAATGAATGTCACGAAAACCATTAATGACTCGAAATTATTGCTAATAAAGATCATTTTCTTAGTTTCATAAGAAATAATGTAACATGCCATTTATTTTCGAATGCAATCTCTCTTTTCGCAAAAAACTTAACAGACATTACTAAACTTCTTCTCTAGAATATTCCTCGATCCTCTATGATCTAAATTTTCAGTTTTAAATTAATATTTACAATTATAATTCTCTAAATTAATATATCTTCAAATATATATTTAAATATCTAAATTGATAATATCTCGAGAATCAATTAGCTGGACACAGTGGTTTCCTTTAAATCATAAAGGATCGAGCTACGCCGCTGCGAGTCTAGTATACGAAGGAACGTCAATTCTCACTGAGAATTCACATATGCGTTTTTCTCAATTCTCAACGCGTGTAAGACGGACTACGACTCGCGGAGCAGCTAGATCGATGACTCGCACTGGACCAGTTACTGTGTCTACTGCTTTCAGAACTACTCGGCGATGAGGGTGGTGTCGGAGTTGGTCGATGATACGGGATCGGACGTTTCCTCGCGCTAAAAGGAAAGTCCGTTAGTATATCATGATATTTTCTTAATGAAGAACGCTTGTTATTGACAAATGTTAAAAGAACGATAAATGATAAACTATTTTTCATTATGTTATCTTGTATGAAAATTAAGTTAATTATGTATAATAATAACAATAAAAGTTAGAAATAATAACGACAATAATTGTAAGCGATTGTAATATAGTATAAAATTCTTATTACTCGTTAATAGAGACTTAAGACTAACAATCTAAATTTAATAATTAATTAGATAATTAAAAAATAATTATTAGTAAGATAATTTTTATTCTTTAACTTGTTAATAATTAATATCTCGATATAACGAAAGTTTGACTGTTACGTGAAAAATGAAACAAATAGCACATGCGACGTGACAAAAATAAATTAAGCAAGCTACAGATAAATGAGAACATGCAAAATAAAAATGTGATAACTTACCTGTGTATAAAATGTTTCTTTGGAGAACGCAGTGGCGCGAAAAACACTCAAAAACCGCAAAAATATTAACTAAGAAACTTAAAATTAAGAAATTATAAATCGGAAAAAAATTGATTTGCCAGTAAATTTCTTTTATTTAGCAATTGACAATAAAATAAAAAGAATTTTCTACTGCATGTGTGAGACAACAATTTAATTTACAATATTTATAAAGGAAAACATATACGCATGCCATATCTACATGGTATTTGTGAATCAATTACAAGTGATTTGATTAAAAAAAAAAGAAAGAAGAAAATAAAGAATTATACAAATGAAAAATCTGAAAAATACAAAATAAAAGATCAACGCTAAATTATTTTACGAACGAAATTGTTGATAATTATGATCGCTAGTAACGATAATATTTGGTTATAATTTACATGAAACTTTCCTGCTTCCGTTATTACATTTGTAATCTGAATGATTAAGCAATTATACTGTAATTAATTGTCACATATACTACATACGTCATTTAACACTTCGATTAGATTCATTGATTAGGACATTTTTATTCGCCAGATATAAACGCTATTAAACGACGTGCATCATACAATATTTAGATATTAATTAAGAGAAGTTAATTAGTACGCTTTTTACTCATTACCACAGAATCCATTAAAATCCATTATTACCAAGATAATAATTATGTTCATTGCGCCTAAAATATAAATAAAAGATAATACACGATAGTTTTTTAATCAATACGAAGGACATTAATCCCTGGCGATAAAAATATTAATTGCAAGTCTCTAAACTACTTAGAGGGAAAATTCTATATATATATATATATATAAGTCTATAAATATATATATGTCAGACTTTTTACTGTTATATATATAAATATGCTGTGCGAAGCCATAACTTTATCTTCTATGCCTGTCCTTTGATCTGTCTCTGTAGGACACAATAAATACAATATTAGCACACCGAAAATCGAAATTTTTAATCGTATTGGCAAATTGTCTGTCTTTCGTCGAAAAAAGTTTAACATTTTTTTCAACAAATTTTGAACAGTTTTTAAAAATTATTTCTTAAACATTTTTAGCGATTATAATATAATGATACAATATATGTAATAATAACAAAACTCTAAGAATAAAAGAAATGGGAACTAAAGAAAAGTGTAATTGATAAATAAAAGTCTACGATTACACAGTGGACGAAGTCCAGCACGCGCGTACAAAGTGCATGATAAATATATGTATATATGTATGTATAACTACTATATAATGTATATAGTTTTGCGATACCTACCTCGTGATACGCCGTCTGTCCAGAAAACTAGGTGAACCATGACGTCGAGGTATCGACGGCGAGCGTGATCTACTGGAGGCAGAGCTGCTGGAGGTGGAGCGGGAGGATTGACTGAAGACACTGCTCGATGATCTTGATGAGCTGGAAAAACTTCTAGCTCGACTGTGCCTAGAGCTAATATAAAGAGGGGACAAATACAAAATATTTTTTACTAATTGTTGATTTTGTATAATTTTAATAATTTTATTAGAGTTAGTCGCTGAATTACAAGTTCTTACCTAACAGAAGAACGGGAGCTACTTCTAGTATGACTACGTTTATCCTTATCCCTGGAGATCCTCGATGCCGATCGCGAACGACTTTTGGATTTCTTCGACAGCGAACGACTATGTGATCTCTTCTTCGATAGCGATCTACTCCTAGATTTCTTTGATAGAGAAGAACGGCTGCGCGACCTCCTCTTCGACAACGATCGATTTCTACTTCTGGATCGCGAAGCGGACTTCTTGCACCTCGAGGGCGATCTTGATGCGCTCGAGCGCTTTGACTCTGCCGAGGATCGAGATCTAGATCGGGGCGAGTGCTGCTGTTTCGTTCTCGTCTTGGGCGATGATTTCTTTGCCCTGGAGGCTGATCTAGAAGTCGATCGTTGCTCAGGTGATGCTGATTTCTTGCCTCGCGAACGGGATCGCGACTTCTTGTCTCTGGACAGCGATCTGGAAGACCTCATTTTGTCCGCGACGGACGGTGATCTCGTGCATGATCTCGATGCCGATCTAGAGTACGATTTACTTTTTTTTGGCGATCTCGAGTGACGATTCATTCTAGCTAACGACATGTTCAGCAAAGGCGGCGGTGATTCACTCGGCGAACGCAGTTTTATTATCGTGTTATCCTCTCTGGATATCATTGTGGTAGGAGAAGATGACTCTCTTTTCGAGACATCTTTCTTCGAAGACGCGATCGACGGCGAGTCTTTCTTGCCCGAGCAACTTGGCGATCTCAAGAACTGACTATTTGTCTTAGTCTTCACACTGGGAGACGTGGAATCGACTTTATCAAAAGATTGCTGAGGCAATGGCGGCGGTGACTCACTCGGCGATCTGATTTTAATCGCTGCCTCTTCTCGGGTGAGAGGTAAAGCCGGCGACGGTGATCTGCTGGACACTGGTGACTGAATGATCGGAAGAGCCTGTATAACTGGTTCCTTTGATGTGGATCTGTCTCGAATCGGTATGATTGAATTTTGCGCTACAGTTTTCGGCGGTTCATTCGGTAGAGCGATATCTAACACATCTTCTCGTCTCTCAATCTTGATCTTCGTAGGACTGATTGCTTTCTTCTCTAATGTTTCCCGTGCCTTTGCGGCCAAGCCACTCTGTAATCGTTTCAATGTGTTCAATTCTATAATTCTCCTTTCCTCGTCTTCCTCTTGCTGCTGTTTGCTGGGCTCATCGTCGGCCAGATCGGCTTCGTCCTCGCTCGATGATCTCAGACTCACTCTGGGTGCAACCGCTATCTGTTGTGTTTTCCTGCTTCTCGATGTCGAGCGTGACTTCGCTTTATCGCTTTTAGTTTTCTTTTTCTGGTCTCGTCGCGATTTTCGATCCTCTAGGATTTCCTTGTAACGCTCTGGATTCTTTCTAACCGGTGAATAACTCAACGTAGAGCGCGATCGGGATCGTCGACGTTGCTGTCGCCTTGCCGAACGCGATCTTCGGCGAGAATCGGTCTCTCTGCGTCTCGCTGGTGGAGACACGGGTCTCCTGCGAGAGGATCCATAGCGATCGTATTTGGAGCGACTTCTACTCCTGGACATGGAATATCTGCTGTGTCTCCTAGGCGATCTAGAATATCCTCGTCTCCGTTTGGGAGACGGACTCATACGACGTGACCTCGAGTATCTCCTGGGAGATCTTCCTTCTCTTCCTCCTCTGTCTCTATCTCTGTCTCTATCATTTCTATCGCTTCTATCACCTCTGCTTCTGGAAGATGATTTGTGTCGTCTGTTTGATGATGGAGCAGGACTCCTGTTGTGGTTCATCGGCGATTTGTCTCGCTTCTCTGCCGTACTCTTTCTCGGCGAATCTTTCTTTGTTTTACTACTGGTCGACGGCGGTAGTGGCGGAGTCTCATTCCGAGATATTGTAGTTCGAGACAATGCTTCTCGCTTCGGTGATCGGATTGATCGAGGAGGAAGTGGTTCTCGCGAGGCTGCAGCACTCTCGGAAATTTCATTCCTTGATGCCTTGTCCACGGTTTTCTCATATTTTACCGATTTTTTCGGTCTTTCCACGGAACTGGAAGAAAAAGATCAATCTACAGCGAATCAGAGATTAAATAAAAAAACAAGTAAATAATAATTAAAGCAAATAAATGAGTTAGTAAAAATTGTCGAGCTTCTGTCAAATATTCGTATAATAACAATCGTACGTGGAGAAATTAAGAAAAACAATTGATATACCTATCTGTGGAGCTTTCAGATGATTGACGTTTCCGTTTAGTCGATGTCTTCTTCTTCTAAAAGGAAATCCAATATGAATTAATATTGTTTATTAATTCTAATTAGTGAACATCGAGATCATGCATTCATCAAGAGTACAATGAAAAAATGCAACAAAAAAGAAACAACGTGTTTATTTAAAAAAATTTTTCCGGAGTCTGCTTTCGGATCAACAATTATAGTGAATAATAATAAAAAAATAAGAATACAAAAGTGATTATTCGTTGATATATACTTCCACGCATCTGGAAAAAACTACAGCTCGAAGAGAGAAACTTCAAAATAATAATAAATCAGATTTAAAAACAGGTCCAGGTTTCCAGAGTAAAGATTGGGCAAAGAATTATAATTTTTTCCCACAAAAATAATTGTAATTGTAATAAAATCAATTTGGAAGTTTTAAACTATTCAAGATTTTGATATAATAAAACAAACATTTATATAATTGTTATAAATTAAATCTATATGCGAAGAGATATCTTATTATGTTAAGGTAATCATCAATTTTTAAAATTATTTTTAGACTTATTATATAATAAAATAACAGTTATATTCATAAGAATGTAATTTAAAAAGAGTAACAACTTCGAGTCACTTTTCCAGGATATATATTAAATTGGACAATTTTCATGAATAAGGCTGGACTGTTCCACCTTTCAGTAAATTTTAGCTCACTGTCTTATTTTCTTCCTCTTTTATGCTCTTTCATTTTTTTATTTAGAATTCTAATAGATAAATTACAATTTATCTGAAAATGAAACAACTGGCCTTAAAAGATTCAAAATCTTATTATTCTATTTCTTTAATCTTGCCCTTTTTAATCATGACAATTCTCTTCCCTCCTTTTGGAGGATAGGAATGTATTCACAAAAATACATTCCTGTTCCCCATTTCAAAACAAGCAGTCTCCGAGTTCAATCTTCCGCAATAAGTGTGTAATAGTGCTCGACATACAACGAGTGAGAAATAGAGAGGCTTTTATAAACAATAGTAAAATTCGTAATATTCAAAAGTACACGAGTATGAATCCACAAAATTAGAAATTATACATTGAGTAGCGGCATATCTGGTACTCACTCAGGGAATGTCTCCTGTCAAATGGCGCTGAATAATTACAAACAATACTGAGATTTATACTTTGAAATAATGAACTGTCGAAAAACTGGAAATCAGATGAAAAATCGTATGTACGCAAAATAACAAGCGAACCGGAGGGGTCAGCAAGAAGAAGGAGACAATCATGCTATCCTTTTCGAGACAGTGGCAAATTCAAGAAATTGGATAACAATAATGATTACCTAGCGTCAATCGAACAAATTGAGAAGAAACAAACCAAAACTAGA